GGGCGGCGCTAGGTAAAGGGTCGCCGCAAATCGTCATCATCGGTTTTGTTTGGCTAGCTGCCCGTAGAGTAAAAATGCGCACGTTTGCCCGAAGTACACTTCTTGTTTCTCACCAGAACAGACATACTACTTTTTCATGGCAGCGGTGGGCTGAAATCCGAGTGTTGCTCTTTTAAAACTGAAAAATGTGTAGACTAAATGCACGCCTGGTTGTTCTCGGACAAAATTTTGCGTCCAATTATTTTCAGTCACAAAAATAGTGGTGAGTCAATAACGAGTCTCGATGAAGCTTCCAACTCAAAAAATACCCTTTTCATTACGAGACTTTGCGTGCGAAACGTCGTGCTCGTTATTATCTCGCGGATTGTGTTACTAGATAAAAGGTAAGGTTTTTTTTTTTTTTTTTTTTTTTTTTTTTTGCTTGAGAGTTTAAGCTACATCGCTTCTTTCGTGATATATTTATTCACTTATTTTACCCATCGTTTTCGTATTGTCGTTTTTTTTCGCGTTTCTCTCGAGTGAATTTCTCTTATGCCGTCTCGCCATGACTTTACCATCGGCAAGCCTTTGGTGGTTTTGGCCCCTTCGACACAGTGGACTTTTCTGGAGCAGTTTCTTGTACTGCTTACCGATGATCACGGCCGGCTTGCTATAGTCGCCTCTTAGCAAAGGGTGGTTAAAAGAAAGCACTGCCTGAGCCAGCGCACGAGGTGAGAGGCACTTAAATCGCGTCTTAACACACTCGCGCGCGCTTCAGCCTTTGCAGTGTTAACAAAAAATACGAGCTCCATACCACGTGCACACATTTAACGTTTGAGATGCTGATGCCGACTTTGTATCACCACCGCCATGCGAATCTCTCTAGAAGCTGCAGTGAAGGCTCCTTCTGCTTGGCTAACGAGCATTTGGAAGGGCCGGGGGAGAACCTAACAAACGACCGTAAGTTCCCTTTCCTGCAGAGCACGGAGAGAAACAGTTATGTTGAACAGCAGAGGATTATCATCGAATGGCAAAGTTTAGAATACTACTGGATCTGAAAAATGGGACGTGCCCAGGGACAATGAGCAAATCAAACGTCTATCCCATATCTATTTCTATTCTGAATTTCGACATTCGCTGGAATCCTTTTTTGCCCGCCATGGTTGGATGCCTCCTTCTTCTGCTGAAAAATTATCTGACACACCTTTTTTCTTATAGTGAAGCGACACGCGAGTCAACAAAATAACTATAATAATAAATAGAATATACACCAACCAAATCCTTGTATAAAGGAAAACCCTACGTTTCGAGACCAGCTCGGTCTCTTCTTCAGGGGTTGACTGCGGCTATGGCCGTTGAGGAGCAGTAATCTGTTTTCTTCTTCTTCTACGGCAGTGTCTATCGTTTTGCATCGGTGAGGTGGCGAAGTCCGTTCACGTAGCCGGTCGGCAGAGTGCCGAGGGATCTATTTATGTTTTCTGGCGTTGTTTGTATGTGCCAAGATTCAATAAAAAGTCTATGTCTGGGATTGGTCTCAACAGCCAGGATGCTGGTGTTGGCAAAGTCAATTTTGTGGTCCCTGACGTCGCAGTGCTCAGCTACGGCGCTTCGTTCATGGTCGAACTTCCGAACATCGTTCATATGCTGGCGGATTCTCTCCCGAAAGTTCTTCGTTTCCCCGATGTATGTGACCGGGCAGTCCGCGCATGGAATTTTATAAACGACGCCTTGTGCTTTTTCCTTAGGCGGGCGATCCTTTGGACGGGGCATGAGTCTTCCAAGCGTAGACATAGGCTTGTGGGCCACCTGGATCCCTTCTTTGGCCAGTACACGTGCCAGCGCCTCGCTTGTACCTTTCATGTAAGGAACGCTGATGCGTGAGATACGACGGGTCTGTGTACTTGCTGGGAGTTGCAGGTGTCGGCGATCTCGGGCTTGATCACGCGCAATGCGGCGGATGAAGCTGCTTGTATAACCGTTATGTTGTAGGTCGGCGAAGATGGTGTTTTCCTCTTTTTTACGGTCAGCCTCGGATGAGCAGATATTTTTTGACCTAGATAAGAGTGTTCTGACCACTGATGCCTTGTGACAGGCTGGGTGATTGGAATGGAAATGGAGATAGCGTCCAGTATGTGTCGGTTTTCTGTAGACAGAAAACTGGAGCTCTTCATTTTGTCTTCTGACGAGCACATCGAGGAAAGGTAACGTACAGTCCTTTTCATGCTCCACGGTGTATTGTATAGACGTTTCGATGGAGTTGAGGTGGGTAAGGAACGTGTCCACTTCCGACGTTTTTAGGATGCAAAAGCAATCGTCTACGTACCTCAAGAACACTTTGGGGGCCGTGTGAAATGACTGTAGCGCCTCTTCCTCGATGGCTTCCATACATAGGTTCGCTGTTGTGACGGAAATGGAGGCACCCATTGCGGTTCCACTGGACTGTTTGAAGAATTCTCCCTTGAAACTAAAATAGGTGCTTTTAAGGCAAAACTCAAGCAGGCGGCAGAGTTCCTCCACGCTAAGTTTTGTCCTTTCGCTAAGGGATTGGTCTTTTTCAAGGGCGTTCTTGGCCGTGGCGACAGCCAGGGGAACCGGGATGCTTGTGAACAGCGCGATGACGTCGAAGGAAACTAGACTTTCTTCGGTGGTCACCTTCAACGTCGAAATCTGTTCCACGAAGTCGCTGGAATTTCGTATATGGGTCGTCGTTCTGCCCACGAGAGGTGAAAGAGTCTGGTGAAGGTAGTTTGACAGACCTCGAAGTGGTGATGTCGTGAAGTCCACGATGGGCCGGAGAGGGATGCTAGGTTTATGTATCTTTGGAAGGCCGCAGAAACCCGGTGCATATCCATTTCTACACAGAAGTCGCAGGTGAAGGCTTCTCGAGTTTGGATGATTTTTGAAAATATCCGTTAGCATCTTATTCATCCTGTCCTGAACTTGTGGTGTAGGGTCCTTTTTCAGCTTTTCATAAGCTGGGGTATCAAGAAGATCCAGAACCTTTTGTTCGTAGACTACTCGGTCAAGGACGACGGTTGAGTTACCTTTATCTGCTGGAAGAATAACAATCTCGTCATCCTCCCGAAGCGTCCGGAGTGCACTTGACTCTTCTCTGAGTAAGTTGTACCGGTGATGTTGAGGTATTTTTGACAGGATGCCAATCACCTTTTGTCGGACCCGTTCACGGGTGCCAGGATTTAAGTGAGCGATTCCGTCCTCAAGGGTTGCAACCATTTTCGGTAGGGGTGGCCTCGTTGTTGTCATATTGAAGCCGTGACCTTTGGCTAAGGCAGCGATCTCACAAGGAGAGAGTTGTCGAGACGATAGGTTTGTGACGAACCTGGCGGAATCGGTGATGTGTTTTGCCTGTTCTTTTTCTTTCAGCCTCAAGAATTTCTTGCTCTGAGACACTCGTTGCTTTTCCGCAGAAGTCATCGCAGAAGTCATCGCGCTGTTCACAAGCATCCCGGTTCCCCTGGCTGTCGCCACGGCCAAGAACGCCCTTGAAAAAGACCAATCCCTTAGCGAAAGGACAAAACTTAGCGTGGAGGAACTCTGCCGCCTGCTTGAGTTTTGCCTTAAAAGCACCTATTTTAGTTTCAAGGGAGAATTCTTCAAACAGTCCAGTGGAACCGCAATGGGTGCCTCCATTTCCGTCACAACAGCGAACCTATGTATGGAAGCCATCGAGGAAGAGGCGCTACAGTCATTTCACACGGCCCCCAAAGTGTTCTTGAGGTACGTAGACGATTGCTTTTGCATCCTAAAAACGTCGGAAGTGGACACGTTCCTTACCCACCTCAACTCCATCGAAACGTCTATACAATACACCGTGGAGCATGAAAAGGACTGTACGTTACCTTTCCTCGATGTGCTCGTCAGAAGACAAAATGAAGAGCTCCAGTTTTCTGTCTACAGAAAACCGACACATACTGGACGCTATCTCCATTTCCATTCCAATCACCCAGCCTGTCACAAGGCATCAGTGGTCAGAACACTCTTATCTAGGTCAAAAAATATCTGCTCATCCGAGGCTGACCGTAAAAAAGAGGAAAACACCATCTTCGCCGACCTACAACATAACGGTTATACAAGCAGCTTCATCCGCCGCATTGCGCGTGATCAAGCCCGAGATCGCCGACACCTGCAACTCCCAGCAAGTACACAGACCCGTCGTATCTCACGCATCAGCGTTCCTTACATGAAAGGTACAAGCGAGGCGCTGGCACGTGTACTGGCCAAAGAAGGGATCCAGGTGGCCCACAAGCCTATGTCTACGCTTGGAAGACTCATGCCCCGTCCAAAGGATCGCCCGCCTAAGGAAAAAGCACAAGGCGTCGTTTATAAAATTCCATGCGCGGACTGCCCGGTCACATACATCGGGGAAACGAAGAACTTTCGGGAGAGAATCCGCCAGCATATGAACGATGTTCGGAAGTTCGACCATGAACGAAGCGCCGTAGCTGAGCACTGCGACGTCAGGGACCACAAAATTGACTTTGCCAACACCAGCATCCTGGCTGTTGAGACCAATCCCAGACATAGACTTTTTATTGAATCTTGGCACATACAAACAACGCCAGAAAACATAAATAGATCCCTCGGCACTCTGCCGACCGGCTACGTGAACGGACTTCGCCACCTCACCGATGCAAAACGATAGACACTGCCGTAGAAGAAGAAGAAAACAGATTACTGCTCCTCAACGGCCATAGCCGCAGTCAACCCCTGAAGAAGAGACCGAGCTGGTCTCGAAACGTAGGGTTTTCCTTTATACAAGGATTTGGTTGGTGTATATTCTATTTATTATTATTGTTGCTCCCCAACCAGAGAGACTTCTCTCAAATGTTCACCTTCAAACAAAATAACTTCATTACAAGGGTCATCGCAGTGCATGCAAAACACCGAGGGACTATTTTTTACTGTAACTTGGCGATGAAAGGCGTAGAATAGCATGCGCACATTCGGTACAATTGCTCGTCAAATAGAATAACAAAAGGGGGAGAGAAAGAAGCACTTACTCCGGCGAAGCCCCCCTGACCCTGAAGCGCGTGAAGTTGATGTCGACTCTCTCGTTGTCCTGCGCGATGAAGGTGTAGATGCACTGCCGCGAGTGGCCCAAGGGGTTCTCCATGTGCGGGGCACTGAAGCTGCCGTTCTTCGGCCCGTCCGGGTTGCTGATGAACATGCGGTCACATTCTGCGTGCAGAAAACAAACGAAACAATAAATAAGGCACCATCCGTTTCAGACGAGCGCTGAAGACTGAGCGGCGTATACTAGAAACTATACTTGCAACATTAATAACACTCGCTGGATGGTTTCCGTATACGTTAAGCTGATCAGCCCTAAAAGGGTGATCATAGCACACACAAAAAATAACACTAAAGAAAGTAGAACACATATGGTGCTAACTTTTAACTGAAGTATGTATTGCCACGTTTTTTGGAATACATACAGCCTAAAAAGAAGCCTGTGCGTCCACTTTCCCGCAAAACACTCGGAGAGCCAATCACCGAATCTTACAATGGCAGCTCAGGGAATGACGATGCCGAAACAAACGCTTAGACCAAAAAACGCACTCTGAGTTGTGACATTAAGCAATGCAATTAAGCAAGACGTTTTGCATTGCTTAATTTCACAACTCAGACTGCGTTTTTTGGTGTAAACATATGTTTCGGCATCGTCATTCGCTGAGCTGCCTTCGGAAGATTCGGTGATCGGTTCTCCGAGTGTTGTGCGGGAAAGTAGACGCACGGGCTTTTTTTAGAGTGTACCAGCAAAACAAGGTGCATAAAAAGCATTTCACCATAAGGGCTGAAAGATAATTTCAGTGGTTTTGTTGTAGTTATGGTAAACTGTAAGACGGTGATATGTTTGTGAGAAGCTGTTGCCCTTCCGTAAAAGATGAGAATACGAGTAGAGGAAAATGGAAAGAAATTGAAGAACTTGAGGAAATAGGAGGAAAGATTTTGATTGATGCGGTAAATTGAAAAGTTTGAATACTCGAATGGTTTGGCGGGAGTGCTCGTTGTCTAAAAACATGACATGTCACGAAAAGCTCAGAACGCACAAACTGTGTTCAGATACACGTGGATAAAAAGAATAAAACAAGTTCCAAGACAAGATGTTTAACCATTCAAGGCAAAAGCAAGATATGGTACACCGTTTTATCCGCATCATCACAAACGCTGGATCGAACTGACAGAATACCCTATTGCCGATGATTAGACACAATTCGATCGCCATTTCCTTTAAGGAATTCAGAGAGTGCCCGACCACAGCTCGGTGCAACATTCGTTCTATTCGGGAGTACTAGTTTGTGTAATACGTTCGCCGACGTGCAGGCTGCTTGCCGAGAGAAGAAAGTACGGTGCGAACGCTGTTATACTTCGGACAAAAACTTGGTACGTGTTCAGTGTCCGCCGGGATTCAGCAGGTAATAAACTGGACTATGGTTCTGTGAAAAGCCTCCTCGCGCTTTCTATGTAAACAGACGGCCCGCTCTCGAGGCTCAACCGTTGAAAGTGACTGGACTCTCTTCAGCTAACTTCGAACTCTGGTAGGAGAGAAAGGGCGCTGCCAGAAGCAACTGCGTCGTGAGAGTGCCGTCGTTTTATGATTAGATAGATGCGAGGCTTAGCCTCGCTGAACGACGGAATGAAATATAGGGGCTTAGCCCCGGTGAACGACGGAATGAAATATGGGGGGCTCATGGTCAGAAGCCGTGGTCACGCCGCCAATATATCATACAAATGACAGTATGCAGAAACTTTCTGAGGCCTGCTTTTTCCTCCTATGAAGGTTTTATCGGGATGGTCGTAAAAAGCTGTCTACAGACATATTCGAAGCACGGGTATGTACAAAGCAAACGTGTTTCCAATTAGGGCGTCTTCGTGTGCGCTTTGCTTAGGGTAATGGCATCTGACAATTTTGTTTTGAACGCCTATTTTTATTCTCTTTCTTTCCGGAGCGCGTGAAAAAAGTCTCCCTGCACGCGCTCTTGACGTTGACTGTGCCACGGCCACTCGATCCGCCCTAACCGAGTGGCCGTGACTGTGCTAACCACCTACGGCGGTACTTTGTTTTCGGCAATTTATTTGTATTTTTCCCGTGAGTGCATGCTATCGGCGTCGGGTACCACAATGTATGTTATCACCCCCAAGAGAAGGAGATTAACCGCCGAATTCAGAAACCTCACTCGAACTACACTCAAACTGAAGGGCCCCTCCACTTCCTCGAGGAAGGCGCGAGGGCCGGCGCTGGCCAATCGCGACGGCGGATCCGTCCTCGCGATTCGCCAGCGCCGGCTCTCGCGCCTTCCTCGAGGAAGTGCAGGGCCCTTCAGTTTGAGTGTAGTTTGAGTGAGGTTTCTGAATTCGGCGGTAAGGCACCGTATTTCGGAAGTGCCCGAAGCGGGTCCGGAGATAATTAAATAATCATGTCTGCAGCAAAAAAAAAAAAAAAAAAAAAAAAAATTATGTGTTTTGTATGGCGACTTCGACTGCAAAGGTGTCGACCTGCTCGTTGCGTTTGATGCCTCAGTTCGACGGGATTCGTTGGAAGACCAGTCGCCATCCTTTTTACTCCCGTCTTTCGGGGTGTGTAGACGGTTTTCCGCGCGACTGTAGGAACGAGGGGAGGAATACGCATGGGAATTTTTTTTTTTTTGCGTAAAGCGAGCAATGTTCGAGCGACTCACGCTGTGAGAATGGCCCCATCTACAATAGTCATTGAGAGATTACTAAGAAGCGCGATGCATAACGCGTTATGGTAATACGATTCTAGCTCGTGATTGGCGCTTGGGCGCGCTCTTATTGGTTAATGGCGCAACCTCATTGGCTGCAAAGCGACGATCTTGGAACTCGCAGCGCCCTGTGTGCATTTTTTAAGCTGTCGGTGAATATAAGACCCTATCCGCGTCCACGTGACTGCTAACGCGCACCCGAAAACTCTGCTTGAAGAATGACTTCCAGGAAACGAACTAAATATGTTTAAGGGGAATAAAGTATAGGGTGAAAAACGCGTTGTTCGTCACAAAATAAGGAAATTTATTCGCCATCCCGCGCCGATCTACGAGACCAAAAATGGTTCAGCGCCAATTACTAAAATCTGCGCAATCAACGGATTCAGCCAATAACAACAACAAACAACTAAAAAAAAAAAAAGAATTCAACGAAGACTGAGCGAAGCGCAAACTCGACACAAAAAGAGGGCGCATGACGGTATGCGTTCAATCACGTGCCTCCCTCTGATTCTCAGACTGTAGCCATAGCAGGGGTCGCACAGCTTTCGTCGTTTGTCGAGTTACGCTGAACCAAAACGTATAACCTTTCCAACACGTGTCACTCAAACGAAAAATGTCGAGTGGCTGGGAAGTGGCAACACAGCTGACAGCTAACAAGGCCAAAGTGTTGAATTTTCTACGTTCCGCTATGGAGACGAACGCGGGGCGCGGATTGGACAAAAATGCTGACTCAGCGCCGAGCTGAGGCTCATCTCCCCTGCGATTGGACACGAGTCTCGGCCGGACGTTTACGCAGCACTCGTGTCAAATCCACATTCACCTCCTTAAACTCCACGGAGCGTTGCGACCAATAACTGACGAACGTCGCCCGACTGCACGCTCGCTTTGCGCGCGACGTAGCAGCCACTGTGCTAATTCAACGCGCTGATCAAAAGCCGCCGGGCAAAATTCGTCGATTTTCCGCAGCGTATTCGCCCCATAGAGTCCCATCCTGAAAATTCAGCACCACGGCCTTCTTACCTATACTTCTTGTCATATAAAAGAGAGAAAAAAAAAAGTTTTGCGCATTACTCACGCACCTCGCGAAGGAGTTCTTCCATGATTTGATTCTGGACTTCGGTGTCTTTGTGGCCACAACACCACAGTGCCCAAAAGCGACGTGTAGCAAAAGATATCGGATAATAATAATAATAATAATTTCCTTCCTTTCCATCAAAGATGGGGGAGACCGAGGAAAAAAGCTGCTATAGAGCAGCTTGACGTGTCCTCGACCCCCTACAGACCCATGAAGTCGCAGCACGAGAAAGAACGTGTTGTCGCACTCTGTAGGGCTCTGCGATCCAATCCGGGCTGGCTAATTATGAAATCGCGAGGCGAACCTCTTCATTACCTCGAAATAGCAACCAGCCGTGCTGACGACAAGCCCTCTCTACGCTGCCTCACCGGGCATACCCTCCTAAAAATATACATCAGCACGCACGGGTATACGTTGAAACGGGAAAGGAGGAAAAATCGGCTAATTAGAACTGCGATGGAAACGGGGAGGGAGGAAGGAGGTCGCGCTGTCGCATATTGCGATCTGTCGTCACCGTGCGCGACGGCGACCAAAAATGCTGACGCTCGCCGCGTCGTTTTAGCATTGGGATTTTATGCTTTGCTATTACCGTTCCTGGAAGCTGAAGAAAAGCAACAGCAGCAGGTTAGCACGAACGTGTAACCACGTCCGCTCGATTTCAAAACATAGCGTTACATGACAACCCCCATAGAAGCGCACCCATACAAGTGACAACACCATTAATGGGTGTTGAGCTCTCACACTGCTCATATACATCCTACAAAAGCCAGTCTGTACACACTGTCTGTAACGTGTTTCTTTCCGTACGATGGTGCTCCCTAACACTGGTCATAGGAAGACTGTCTACAGATATCTTCGGAGCATAAAGGCAAACGAGCTCCGAATATGATTCGGGCGTGTCCCCAGATACTTTTCTCGCGTCTGCAGCAAACAGTGTCTTATGCATGATGTAGGAGCAATATGGCTGTGGTTTCCGTGAAGGAAACAAAAGAAGAGAGCGATTTGTATCATGCTCCGATGGTAATCAACACCACGTATAGAATAACCAAAGCCTCCGCATCGCCTCCTCTTCCCTCATGAAACGTCGTTAGTGTCGAATGGGGCTACTTGTCTAGGTAGGGTAATGCAGTTTCAGTGGCCGAAGGGGGAACACGTTCTTTGTCCATATAATTCAATGTGGCTTTTGGAGCGCGACACCCGTTGCTCTTTCCATTTATGCGCCTTATTTCAGAAAGACCAAAGATCGGTGCTTCGGGTGCCTCGTGCAGCAGTTTCTAAGGTCATAATCTCTTTCCCGAATTCCCGGCTGCAAATACAAACTTCATCGAGATCCACGCAGAACACCCAATCGTTCGTCTTCTCTTAATTCGTTAGTCCAG